AAACAGAATAGTCACTCAAAGTATGAAATATAACACTGCCTAAACTGCTTACAATTCAAGTCCTTATCCGGTCAAAGTTGAAACACTAGGTATATAACACTCAAAAAGTAAAGTCTAAATCCGATTAAGATAGCTCAAAGTCTAACATAAACCGCTCAAACCACAATCTACAAAACTGTTTTATATCGCTCAAAGCAAGACTCCTAAACCGCTCAATGAACAGCTCTCTAAATCGCTCACTACAGGCTCTCTAATTAGCTCAAGACAGCTCATTCTAAATTGCTTAATGCATGGAAGAATATCGCACACTGCATGTTGTACAATAACCACTGCATGGAACACTATATTGCATGAAATCCGTTCAAAACTTGCCTTCTAATCCTGTCACCAAGCAGCCTTTAAATCGCTCAATCTGTTATCACTCAATACACTACATTAAATCGCTCATAGCTAACCTCCTTATCCTCTCACTAAACAACCTAAATCGCTCACAGCTAACCTATAAATTGCTCACAGCTAACCTATAAATCGCTCACCAAGATTCCTTAATCCAATCAAGTACTAGCCTAAACCGCTCACAGCAAACTTCTCAATCGCTTACTGCATGAAGATTAGCCGGTCAAGTCTGTTTCTTAACCGGTCAACTCTTACAGCCTAAGTCGCTCAAGCTTGAAGTCTAAAATCCTCAATATGTGAAATACATCGCTCACCACACTTACTGCCTGGTTCTAAACCGCTCACTACTATGCTTAACCCGCTCAAGATTTAATCCGTTCAAGGAGTGATTTAAAACAGCTCAAAACAGTTCACTGTATGAACTTAATCCGTTTACTACAGATCCTTAATCCGGTCACTTAACAGTCTAAACCACTTACTGCATGATCAAGTAAATCGCCWGTTGCATGAGGGTTAAACCTCTCACTACACTCATTAAATCGCTCAATACTAAACTGTTAAAACCGTTGAACAAACAACCTAAATCGCTCACCTCATCAACTCACTAAGTAAATCGCACAAGATGTAAGGCTGCTCAACAAATCAAGTAAATCGCCTGTTGCAAGAAGATATAAATCGCTCACAGTGTGAACTTAAATCCGCTCATTGTATGATGTAGTCCGCTCAAAGCAGCTTCTAAATCGGTCAAGGAAGTGAAGAATAAATCGCTCAAAGTCTGCTCAAAGCAAGGTGTAAATCCAGTCATCAAACAATCTTATTCGGTCAAGAGGTAGGCTAACAAGATTCAAACACAAATGTAAATCAAACTTAGATCAAAACAACACACACACAGAAATTACAAAAATTCATACAAAAATTGGATCAAAATCTAACTTTCTGATGAATTTTCTTAAGAACATGAAGAACTTCAAAAATAACAAATCTCTTCAGATATTTACTGTTTGTGATCAAATCAAGAAGTTGAATGAATAACACTGATTCATGATGTAAAATCGTACACAATTATCACAATTTTAACATCTAAACATCCAAAAATGAAAGATTTAAAAAAAAATTATGAAGAACAAGGATGAGTATTCAAGAACATGAAGAACTTCAAGAATAAAATGATAAATTTCCAAAAAAAATTGTGTAAATCTTGATGACTTCTTCAATCAGATTTCCTGCACACTTGCTCTGATACCAATTATAAGTCCCAATATTGATCAATCTTCATGTGAAGCTCCAACACAACAATGGCATAATCATATTATCTATTAAGAACACTAGAAGGAGTAGAGAGAGAAAAAGTCAATGCATTCAATCTTGGTCAAACTCTCAATACGTATACTGAATGTTTACAATGAAGCTCTCTTCTAAAATTACAAAGACACCACCCTATATATAGAGTCAAACAAGACACAAGGTCAAAGTCAAACTATTCTATGAAAAGTCAAACACGATGACTTTTACACAATTATAGACAAAATTAACTTTCAAGACGAATACAATGTAATACTGAATTTCAGTCCTAACAGAATCCATCATCATCTTTTCTATGTGCATCCACATATAGTGTCCAGAAGCTTTATGACTGCCGATGCTTGTATAGATGTCATTAGTCAGTGCTTGCATCATATAGGTTTTGCACAACACGTCAGCATGTGCTCTTTCTTTCTCTTCAGCTGTATATCTGGATTTTTCTTTGATTACTCCTGAGCAGGTCTGTTTCAGCAGGAATAGCAGGTGTTTCTCTTCAGAATACGGCTGGTCCTTCCATAAGAGATTCCATTATCAGCTCTCCTTCTTTCATGCGTTCAATAAAATTGAGAAATCTGTCTCTCCATTGGTTATAATCTCCTCTAAACAGAACAGGTGGCTTGGTATCAGTACCAATCGCCATAGCTTCTCTCGAACTCATTTTATCTGATTAAGATGATATCGGATCTTCTGCAGTTCAAAATTTGATTCGAAGGATTAAAATTCAAGAATATTTCAAAAAATCGCACACAAGAAATTTACACACATTCAACACTTAGAAAATTTAAGCACTTAGACTTATCCGGATTAGAAGTCCGGACAAGCTTATCCGGATTAGATATCCGGACAACTAAGTTCAAATCAAACTCGCACAATTTCCACAAGTTATTCGGAGGAGAACTCCGGACAAATCAAACACTTAGTCAAAAGTTCAACAACTAACAAAACTTAATACGGACGCATAAAGTCAACAAGTCAAACAAATGTAATCTGATCAATGCAATATACGATCAAACAATCAATCCGCTCAAGTAACAAAGTCATACTATTCAAATCGCTTGACAATAAAAGTCAAAGTCTTGACAAATAGTCAAAGTCAAAGTTCGTTCAAACACTAAATCGCACAAACCATAATATGAAGAATATTAAATCAATCAAAATTTCAAGCGGATTACTAAATCGCACACCAGACCGCACAGGGTTACAAACGGATTATTACTAAATCGCACACAACTACAAGCGATTTAACAATAAATCGCTCACAACATTACCCGGTTTACCTTTAAATCGCACACCTAAAATTCACACAGATTCACTAAGTCTTAAATCGCACAAAGCACTAAGCGATTTATCCTAAATCGATCAAGAGTTATACGATTTACCTTCAATCACAAACACAATTTTAACAACTTTTCACCAAAATTTTGGATCAATACTTGAAAAATTATGAACTTTTTGAAGAACAGAAAGTTTTCGTAAAGTCAAAAAATCTGCAAAAAATGGTTCAAATCTTGATTAAAATTCAAAACCGTGTGAATCAAAGATGTTCAGTATGTAATCGCGAATCTAGTAGTGCAAATTTTAACAATTAACAATCAAAAATGATGATATTAGAGTAGAAATTGTGAAATCCGATCAAGAACACAAAAGCCCAGCGATGAACAGTGATTAAAAAATCCAAAAATCCGTGCAAAAATTCCTCGAATTGTGTGTAATCCTTCTATCAAATTGCTGCTTTTGTGCTCTGATACCAATTGTGAATCCCAATTATCATACAAATCAGACAAATCTTCAAGAACACAATTAAGAGGAGAGAGAGATTTTCAGCAAGCTAAGAAATGATATTTCTTGAGAGAATATTACAAAGTGATTAGCATGAACTAATTACAATTAAGCTACAAAACACTATTTATACTAAGAAAGTAGCAAAGCTAACCATTACAAAATGAGAGAACTTGAATACAACATTTTAGCACAATCTTGAACCCAACAAGTCATAAAGAGCTTAAAGCGACAAAGTTCAAACGAGATTTAAAGCGCGCAAATTCTTTCAAGCCTGAATACAAAGGGGGAGATTGTTAGGACTGAATTTCAGTGTTAAACTGTATTCGTCTTGAAAAGATAGTTTTGTCTATAATTAAAATAGACATCGTGTTTGACTTTTCTGTAAAGTTTGACTTTTACTTTGAAGGTTTATTGTTTGACCATATATATAGTTTTTGTTTAGTGTAATTTTGTAGTAAAGCTCATTTGTAAAATCAGGTTACTTAATAAAGATTGACCAGGTTTGAAGGATTGACTTTTTCTCTCAAACTCCTCTCATGTTCTTAATTGTTAGATCCAGATCTGTCATGGATTCTTGAGGTATATTGAAGATTGATCATTAAAGTGACCTATCAATATGGTTGTGCGAATAAGCCATATGGCTTATACAGTCCATTAAGTCGCAACCAAACAACCCCTATGTGACTGTGAGGCATGGTTATAATGTAAATCTATCATAAAAAACATCATGTAAATCTATTGCAACGTTAGAATATATATATATATATATTTTTGTTCCTATAAAATAGTTTATTAGGATACTTAAAGATTGTTTGGTTGGTTTTTCATTAAGTTTTTTATGGATTAAAGAGTCTATATAGAATGGAAATGTTTTTGTTTTTGAGAACATTTTTTTCATAGATGAAAGGAGCATGTATTTTTAAATTGGAAGGGACATGTTCAGAAAAACTTGACTTTCTGCATAAATGATCATGTATAACTACCAAATAAACAGTTAGTCTCATTAAACTCATTAAGCTGCTTACAAACAAGCACTTAGAGATTTATAACATCCTATAAACCCGATTTTGTTATAATGTACCAATAAATGATCAAAAAAGCAAAGAGGTTTTAAACTAGTTATATTATCTACCATTTCCTAAAACCCCTTTAGCCATATACCCACCATTTGTTCGATTAGCATTGTCCAAAACTAATATATAGGTGGCTATCTTTGTATATCAATCGATCTTAGTTATGGTGTTATAAAGTTCATCTAAATTGAGTCCCGTTACAAGTAAGTTTATAGCATCTCATAACTACTTACACGATTACAATTTTGTTGTAGCATATCAGCCCTATTTGTTATAGAAGAACTTTATGTAGGTTAGATGGAAAATTACAAGCAAACATTGTGGTAATAATACACAATTGCATAAAATGTTGATGACAAATTTTTGTATCTTGTTTGCATATCCATTTGACTTTGGTAATTCATAGGATCAAAAACAAATTCATAGACTTGTAGATTTATCCAAATCTAAATACACAACACAAGAATCGTACACATCGGTTCATAGACTTCATAGTTTATTCCTTTCTTTATGTAGAACGCTTAACACAAGAATGATATATAATGGTTGATATTCATTAATGCTTATAATGGTTGATAAGATATCCACCTTTTGAACATGGCAAAACATTCTTCAGGCTTGGACTCAGCGGCTGTATGCCCACCACCCTGTAACATAACAAAACTATATCAATCAACAACGATTATTCTCACTCCAAATGATAAAAAATCATATTGCTTGCCTTCAAGGTGGAGTATGTCATCATATTCGAATAACTCTGTGTACCTGTCAAAACAACATAACCCAACTTCAATACATTTGTTTATGTCATGGAAAGAACATCATTTGTCACTGCAAGAAAAATAGTTTATCAATGCCATATTAAGTAAAAGTATCCAATAGATATCTTAATAAGTCTTTAAGTTTATAGTATCAAGCAATTGTATATTGTATAGAAATCTGTTACAATAATTTGATAGAATGCTTTTGGGATTCCTAAGAAGTTTTCTAGAACAAGCACCCAATTTGTCTTTTTTATATGACATTATTTGCATGAAAATGTTTTATGAAAATCCTAACATGACATTTTTTTTCACAAAATTGTCGTACAAACCTTTTTAGGATGCCCAAATATATCCTAACATTCTAACGTAACTCCTTTTTTTATATAAGATGCACAATTGTTTGGTCCTAAAACATTTTACCCTTTAAAGTAGTGTATTAGAACATTTAAAAAAAATTGATATCGTATCAACTCAATTTTGTTGTAGTGTGTACATGCATTACCCAGCAATTTGACCATGAAGCTTCCATGATCGCCATTGATCGATGAAAGAGAAGTTTAGGTCTTTTATCCATGTTTCAGTTGACCGGTGTGGAACAACCATATCATGATCACCGTTGTGCCAAATTATAGAAGTTCAGTGGCAAGATAGAAAAATTTGACATATATATCAAATCTTAATTTATGTTGTAAAATAAAAGGGACCTGAATATTAGAGAGCGATAAACCTTTTTGCTGAGGTTCAGATGATAGGCTCTGACATCGTCCAACGTTTTCGTGAAATTTAAATTCGAATTGCATCTTACCCATTCTCCTATGCTTCCCTGTGTCATTATAACATGTGTGAGCAATGCTACAGTTCTATCTACTAGTATCATATGTAGAAATACCTTCCAGATATGCAGTGCTTCTCTAACCGGCATCGTTAGCCCAATATTCAATCAGACTAGTTACTTCATCCTGCACCCATCAAAAAAACATCATCTACTATAACTAGCTGCTTTGTTAATTAAGCTATAAGAAATGTGTTAGTATGGGTTTTTTAGGCTATAAGGATTAGACTTACTCGACAGTAAAATGCAGAATGAGGTTGATGCTCTTTAAACAACATTTGACTGGGCAGTTTGATTGGCATAACAGAAACACTACCACAACAAGATAAAAGGATTTTAGAGAAGGTTTTGTTTTGAGCTTAAAAGTATTAAAAGCTTCTCTAAAGGTTTTAGAGAAGCTTTTCACTTCCGTCACAATGCCTCTCTATATAACGGTAGGTAAAGGTTTTAGGGAGGGTTTTCGGAGGGTGCGTTTTTGTTAGCTTTTAGAGAGACTTTTTTTGGGGCTTTAGATACACTTTCAAAACTTTTCTAAAGGTGAGTCAACTTTTTTCAAAAAGCTTCTCTAAAAGTATTTATTAGTGACGTTTTTCAAGTATTTGTGACGGTTTAGAAA